ATTTATAAAATGGAACAGACTTACTAAATTGCACCAATATATCAATTGTTTATGAATAATTGTTATTTATTATGATTATAATTGTCACGTTTAATAATGTTTGCGAAATAATGTAAGTGTAATTAAAATAATAATATAAATCCACAGTTGTAATTATAGTTCATTTGATAATCCAAATTGAGATGAAGGTAGTCGGATTTTTGGAATTTGATTATTTCGTCAAAATTCGCTTCCCGTTCTCACGTCGGGATTACCAATTCTGTAGTGGCTGTGCTTCGACAATTGATCACCCTCGAACCGTTATCGTATAATCTTCAACGATGTTTGAAATCAGAAGGCAAAAAGAAGCAGCTACTACAGTTTATTTAGCAGATAATTCGGACCAGACAGCAGAGAGGCAAAATGAATGAGTGTAGCGTGGCGTCGAGTTGGGATTAACTACGAACACCGCTACAAAGAAACACGTGCCAAATGAATCAGAAGGCGTAGGTTGGACGTAACCAAATAAATCCATAAAATCTCCGAGAAGCCAAATATCAGAAGGCAATTAATGGACCAAGTCGAGGTGTATATTTGCTGGCGATCTCGTGGCATCGAAAGGATACCGAGATCGTGCCAGGATACAACCCTGGTTACAGAAGGCAACCGAATTCGCGAGAAGTTACAATCGAAGTGTAAGTAAAGGAATGGAAGCACAAAATAGCTGTCATTAGCACAGTCAAACAAAAGCACGTTAAAACAAACACTGGTACAGTTGGTTATAATAATTGTTTTTATTAAACTAGTCGTGTTCTCGTGATAAATGTGAGTCACTACATGAGCAAGTAAACTACGATTGTAGCAGTAGCAGTAGTTGTAGTTGTAGTGAATGGGTGCAAATGTACATATATATGTATAGGAAAATGGATGAGTCAGCGAATAGATTAAGCAGTTAATAGTGAAGCTAGCAGAATGAATACATGCGTAGGCGCTAAACAATGTTCAAGCATATGTATTTCATACAAGCACAATAATAATAACAGTACAACAAGTTGTTATATCATGGATGACTTTGTCCATTAAATAGGTCAATAAAAGACCTTGACTGAACTAAACTCAATTGCACGTGAGTCGCTATAAGTCTACCATTGAAACGGTATCCAAACTGAGATAGTTTGGCATGATATACGGAAGATTATAAAAACAGCATTGATATGTAATAGTAAGCTAAACTGAAATGTTAGGAAAAATTATTTGATCTCAGCGATGTCTGCTGAATTGTTAGGTGCTTGGGAACTTATTTATCTGGCTTTAAACCGATGGACAGAACAGTTCAACTTCAGTTACGTGCTGTCTCCAAGCAACCTGAATGACAGACTTACACAAATCCTCCGAAATTTAGTGAGATTGAGGACATAGGTGATATAAAGCGGGGGAGAGCCTCAGGGCCTGATGTTCCAGTCCGTGAGATGGTGATCCAATTTCGGCTAAAGGATTAACTAAAATATTGTCTAAAATCTGGGAACCGGACGTAATCTCATCTGACTAGTCTCGATCGCTTATCGTTGCAATCTATAAGAAGGGACAAAAATCCTCTGATGACATACAAAAAGGAGTCAGCTCAACTAATTTAATGTCTAAATCATTATCCTCAATAATATTTCGACGTCTAATTAGGGCTTAAGTAAAGCGAATTTGAGAAAATCAGGTTGGTTTTAGATCTGAATATGGATATGTAGATCAAATATTCACCCTTGGAAGCTCCTGGGACATGGACATACTTTTCAACGTCCAACTATAGTTGTATTCCTTGGCCTTAATGTATCTTCCAGCTTGTTGTTCGTGAGGTTCTGTGGTATTGTCTGTCATCGAAAATGGTACGAAAGAAAAATATTAACTTTGTACAGGATCTGTACTCAGACACTTCAGATCGAGTGGCAATTTTTCATCGGAATTGGTTACTTCAAGTGTTGTTCGTCAAGATTATCCACTTTTTTCCACTTTCTGTTAAATTCTCTTGCCAGGAGACTCACTTGTTGACTGTTCAGTGAACATGTTTACATAATGCAAGTTTTTTAAACACTTTAAGCAACAATACAAGCATGCTCGAAATGCGATTATACCCTTTCAAATGTAAAATGTCATTGAGGTTGACGGATTTAGTGATGGGCAGTGATGTCGACCGGTTCACTTGTCTTGAAAGTGTCATCGGGACTGGTTTTCCGGTGTCTGAAGGGGTACCGACACGGACTCAGAAGGCTAGACTGGTTTTTGTTAACCTGAGTCACTTGTAGCGTAAGCGGGATATCTGTCTTCCAAACAGAGAGCGAATTTAATATGAAAGAGGCTTCTCCTTTCCATTTATGGGTGTGAAGCATGACCATTAAGAATAGAGTATACTGGCAGGATTTTAGTTTATGACCCATAGATATCTTCGAAGCATAACTGATGTATTTTGGGACCACTGAGTAAGCAATACTTGGGTTAAGGGTAGGTACATATCTAAAGTTGTGAAATCGATTGATGAGGTAGTTAATCTTCATTAACTGAGATAGTTGGAACATGTGTTACTTATGATGAATCACTGCCTACCACACAGACAGATCAGTCAGAAAAATAGGACAAAAGTATATTGTGTTTTACAGGACATATCTAAATATATTTGGTCACTCGCTCAGTTTCTCATATTTTTCTTCTTATAGATGGACGCACACCAGTATAGACCATACCCAATACAACCCCGAATTTCATGACAACAATGGTCCTACCGAATCAATGTGAACAAGCGAATTGATGGAGAAGATGCTCAGAACATCTCATATGTTACCATTTAATACAATATCGTGACACAACACTCGAAATATACTTCCGGAAAATTCAAATAGGACATACGCCTTACATTGTACTTCCAGCAGGAATTCTTTCTCCAAAAGCCTGTTATAGCAACTACTTATATACCAGTAACAAGAGATAACAAACTATATGCAGAAATGTGGATTATTAACTGTAAGATCACTGTACCATATCTGGATTATTTTCAGATAACAGTTCATCCTTGAGTTACAAAATCTACACAATGCACTAACGTTGACGCCGTGCATTTCCGTTTCAATTTCATCAAACATATTTTATGCACCGACATTTGTTATCCTATTTCCGTGGCGAAACTCTCGTTACAACGCAAAACGTGAACTGGGTAGTCTAGTTTTTTTACAATAAATTTCGTAAAATTTTTAAACAATCTGATCTCGCCCTGTGAATTGACATGTTTTACGTAAGTAGTGGTTATTGTCCAGTAAATCAATATGATTATTGTTACTATCATTATTAACTTTACAGTACCTGAACAGTATTTGATTAGGTCTACAAAACCATTATATACCCACAAAAATACGGGGGATCAAATTAAGAAACCGATTGTGTTAATATGCACAACAACTACTTGTCAATGTAAGAAGCTGTCTTTGTCCATCAGGGAACGATCGTTTACGCGAAAAAATCCAAGTTATACCAGAGTTAACCAACTGAACCAAAAGATAATAATTACATGAAAATTCAAGGATCGCACAACAAATTACTTGTCAGCAAAAGTAAACATTCCCAACAATAATGAAGAAGTTTATATCCTTTCCTTATAAATCAGTTTAATCAGATCAAACAATAATGGTCAAGAACTAGTCCACCCAACATAACAGTCGCCAGGATATGAAGTTAACTAGAACAAAATCTATTATCGTCATTAAAAAAACGAAAAAGAATCAAAACCTTAAAACAATAACAAAATAATAATTTCAGATAGATCAAAAGGTTAACACAAAACACATTTATATAGATAGTTGATGGAATAATTTTACGCATAAGGAAAGAAAATATAGCCACGTGAAAAAACGTATATCAAGGGAATTTAGGACAGATTCACGACTGTCAACACAACAACGTAGAGAAGTGATCTTACGACAAATTCTTAAACTGCTATTATGGGGTGTGCAACATTGATATTTACAAGCGGCAGTTTTGCATTGTTCGGTTGAGTTTGAGTTGATCTAATTCATGTAAATGATCCGATTGGCTCATTCAGCAGAATAACATTAAATTGAAGCATTAAAATGAAGTTGAGACTTGATTTTTACAAAAAATCACTATACATAACTTGCAAATTATTTACTAATTTTGAATACAAACTAGTTGGATAGATTTATTTCACTGTTATCCAACAACATTTTGATAGATTTATAAGCCAAAATTACCCAGTAAGTAATATGTTGGAATTTATGACATAATTTAATGAATCTAACTAGTAACTGACAGCATCATTGAAGAAACCTGATAGCTGTTTTTAAGAGTGTATGATGTTTATGAAAGTAGTAACTAAATATCATTGTCACTTTCTATTATTTTAGTAAGTCTTCCAAATATAATCACGTTTAGGGAATCTAAAACATTGGTTATCCAAACTAAATATAACCAAAGTATAGAATATAGTATCTCGAACATGAACATAACAAACGGTTGTGTCATATTTTAGCAGTTTACTTATGACCTGAAATATCTGTAATGTACTAATTAGTTCAAGTATTGTTTAACTGTATATTTCAGTATTGTTTTTTACTTGTTAATAGAAAAGCAAAAATGTACAAGATAATAAATTTTATTTATTTTTTGTTAAGAAGTAAGAGCTAAAGCTTTGAAGATAAACCATAGAAAATTTATTATTACAATAATTATTGAAATTACAGGTTAATATAAATAGTGAGAATAAAAAAGAATATCTAGAATTTATGGGTAATCAATTTTTCTTTAGCTGTCTACAAGCGTCAAGGTATTCATAGAGAAATTTATCAATAAATAAATTATATGAGCCTGTTAGGGATAAGTAGTAATCTTTCAGTAGTCATATTATTTTCAAAATATATCAGTAATACCTGACAGATGCTTGAAACATAATGAATATATATTCACTCATCATAAGGAATACAGATGATTACATATCTAAAGTTTATTTTCAAATAATAAACTGTTATTCATCTTCTGGGTAAGCTTCCAAGCCAGAACTCTATAATAGTGAGTATAAGAACACACAAGAAATACATTAGAGGTTTGAAGAACAGCTAATAAGTTTCAACTAACAGTATATACAATTTTTATTGTAAAAAGATTGCTGACACTAATTGTTACATAATCTATGAAGCAAATGAAGTAATGAAACATGAATTGACTATCAGTTTTAAAATAAAAACAGGTATTGCAAATTTGTAAGGTAAGATGGATGTTTCGGGACTGTAACAATCCTAAACAGTTTCTATCATATTTCGCCATAACTCGTTTGTCATAAGTGAATTTACTTTGTAAGAATAGATGTCAAACTAAAGGGTAATTTGTTTTCTAGCATTTTGACTTTAAATACCACTTTTATTAATGTCCCCTTGACAAGTATCATAGATAATTAACTACTTAAAATTGAGTATAATGAATTTCTTTCTTCTCTATCCGAATATCATTCTCTTATTATGTATCACCAAACACTTAGAATGCTTTCCACGTAACATGTGGAACGGCAAATAAATAAAAAATACTATTACAGGATCATCTATTTCCAACAACCAAAAAATCATCTATAATTCTGATCCAAAGCTACTCATAAATGATGACATTCTACATATAAATAAATACTAATCGAGAGAATTTCTACTTCATGTTGCTTCACCAAAAATATGGTGCACTATAACATTTTTGTTAGAAAAATCTAAGGTTAAAAGAAATGTAAAATAAACCATATGAACTTACTATCTGAATTACGTAATCTATTTATAGGAAACTGATTATTATGATTAGGCTTTGTATTCGTACCATACTGATTTGTGGAATATGAAGAACATGTAAAAGCTGGTAAAACTTGTGGACTAAATGAGTGTTGATTACCAGTAAGAGAATATGTATTATCCTGTTTACTTGTACCAGTTGTACTATTTGATGTAAATGATTTTTTAAAAACATTCTGTTGAGACAAAGTTTGTAGCGGTGAACGTGTTGAAAAATTTACATGACCAATATAACTACGTGATTCAGTCTGTTCGGGATGTAAATAATCATGATTTGTATCAAAGATATTTGGAGAAGGCATAATACCAATTGGCTGCAGTATGGAGAGATGGTGATTATGATTATGATAGTGATTGCTTAGCGAAGTTGAAATCGGTTGACAAACTGAATGACTGATATTCATAGGAAATTGCAAAGAAAATGTTGATTTTCTGTGGTGATTTGGAGGTTGATAATATCGTCGACTTTTTGAATCCCTCAAAAGATAAAGAGGAAACATAGGAAATAATGTATACATACATATGTATATTATAAACTTTGAACAATTGAGTACAATCATTACTACTCATTTTGAGGGAAAACTGTCTTACAGTTCTAGAAGATCACTCAGAACATCAACATTAAAACGTAGAAACATCTAGCTAAGGAGTCCTTAATCAATCGAGAAATACATCCTGAATATTGATTAAAGTCTTTCCAAACCGTCAGTTTATTTTATAAATTCCAAAAGTGTTTTGAATTGACAGAGTTGAACTGAAAAGTATGATTTATTCAATAGATTTTAGACAATCATCTTACAAATATGTGTATGTAACCGAATTGTTTAGAATTTATTTGATTAACTCCCATTAGTCACACTTAAGGAGATAAGCCTTGATTAATTAATTTATTAAACTGTTCAAATTGTTTTTTTAGCATAACAGACAACAAATGATTACTATAAAATTTTCATATCTGTTTCATTTGTATGGAAAAGAGCTACAACTACTACATGTTAACCAAAACCATATGGAGCAGTTAGTCATTTATAAACAATAGAAAACAATTATATTTATATTATAGTCTAAACATGCTGGTTTTTGGAAAGTTTCACTTAGTTAGTAAATAGATTAAGTGTGAAATAGAGAGAGAAAAATTTAGGGGATTTATGTAACAATTTACTACACAAAATTAAATCATTTCTTACACTAAAATCTCACTTTTTTTGGTACATCATGTACTTTCCGAGTGAAATAAAGATTTATCTATGAGTTTTGTTGAGACGTTTGTTTAAACTAACAATCTTTCGAAAGATAATAACAAAAAAGAGAAACTATTCAATGTTTTTGTCGAACTTAAAAAAGAGATGAACGTACTTGGATGAGTTGCTTGTATTAGAAGAACTTATTTGTGTTGTCCATGTCTGCAAAGGGATGGATGAAGATGTCAAAACATTGGTAGACTGAAAAGTAGGGTTATTTCGTGCTTGCTAACTGTTTGACTGCTGGTTAACAGTGGTGACAGTGAAGACAATCCCATTCCTGAAGAAACAGTTCCAGGATTATACGTATTTGTTTGGTCTGATTTTAGAGGATTTTGATAAACTCCTCGATACTGTTGTGGAAAAAAATGGTAGCTGCTAGTCTGACCTAAAGTAAGATAAGGTAAACGTTTATTTGAAGTCATTTCCTTAGGTTGTGAGTCTCCACCTTTTGTGTCTAAATATTTGTTTACAGAAGATTCTATAACTGTTGAAGTACAGTCGATTTGTTCGTTTGGCACTTCGGTAACCTGCGTTATAATAAGAAAAGCATATATAAAGATTCATAGTTACGGTGTAACTGTAAACATTTTGCTCGATTTAGGTCCTTCTGGTTCATTACGAGGAAAGTTCTACAGTTATTAGTAACAGAATTACATACAAACTATGGACTCATTTCGCCAGCGTGAATTTTACTGTCAGAGTAATTTATCATGTAACTTATCTAGGAACCTGTTCACATTTATTAACATAGATCATTCTGTTTTATTTATTTTAGCTGACCGATTATACGTGATGACCACATGTACTTAAATACTTTTGTAAAGCGGTTAAGACGTAACACTAATTTAGGAGGAACTATTAGTTCTTGGTACATTTTTCTTTTCATCTGTTCTTTGTAGATATCAGAGGTAATTGCTATAAAATACATACATCAAATTCATTATGCGACGAAATAAGTGTTATGGAATCAAGATTGATTGTGAACATTTATGAAAGAAAATGAATGATAGGTAATCACTTGTAAAACATTTTGTACTAATTTTTTTTAATTCCAAAAGGTTAAGAAATGGAAGTTTACTGAGATACTACATGTTTTGTGCTGTGAAATTTTTGGTGTATGCAAATATACGATATTTAGTATATCGATTATTATTATTATTACGAAATCTTTAAATGTATCTTATCTGTATTTTTTTTATTAGAAGGGCAATAAAAAGTGAGAATTCCAGAATGAAATTATTACATTCGTAGGAAAAACAATGGATTTAAATAATCTTTTAAGGTGAATGAATTGTAGAGATTGATTCAGGTTGAATACTATTTATCTGTTATGAATTGTTAATAAATAGGAATCATTAGGAAACAAAGTACAATTGTCAGTGGTTTATTATTATTTTTTAAAGTTTTCTTCGCAAGAGCCTACTCAAAATATTAAAAGAGGTCAAACATAAGATGATATAATAGTCCAATGTTCTTAACTTTCAATGATACTTCATGATGTAAAACTATCTTTGATGATTTGTTTGTTTTCTATAGAGTGGTAATATCGATTTCTACAACGCAGCCCATCAAAACCAGATACATAATATATATTATCAGTCAAAATCAATGATTTGATCCAAATAGTAAAAGTGATAACCAGATGACTGCTATAAATACAAATAAATAATTATAATCTGAGCGTAAAAAATATAGATTATTATTGGTGAAGAAGGACATATCAACCTTAAATATAAGTTTTATCATCGAAAATTACTAAACACATAATGAATAGCTGACCACCATATTATAACAATCAATGGTGTATTATTGATGAATTTAACATTATAATTAAGTCGAATAATATAGAATTGATTCATATTTTTTATAGTGCACAAGATTTATGCATATTGTAAACAATATATATATATATATATATATATATATATATATATATATATATATATATATATATATATATATATATATAATTTGACCCCATCAACGAACCTTGGCAACAAAACCACTATTGAACGGGGATTGGTTAGTAGTATTTATTAATGACTGTTCATTAATGGTTAAATTTGTAACTTGTAACGGGGATATTGATATGGAAGCAGAGGATAAGTCAGTATCATTCAAAGGTTCACGTAAATCTTCTAATATAGACTTCGAGATTGGATTTGTTGGTTTTGGGCTCTTACATTTAACCGTTGTAAGTAGACCAAATGACTTCTGATATAAAAAAAAGTCAAAAAACATTCGTGACATGGTAAGAACTTTATGGATTATAATCAGGATGATCTTAAATATTAATTGATTACACAAGTTAACTTTAATAGACTTTTTTTCATAGTTTTAACGGGAAAGAAAGGGAATTTAACGACTCAATAAACCGAGTCTTAGATGGATAGATAATTCGTATAATAAGTATAATTGTGATAGAGAACGTACATTTCAGAACGATAATATCAGTGGCTGAATAGTTAGTTTATTTAAATTTCAGCTCCTTAGTTGAAAGGTTTAACTCTGGTCCGTCTGCTACAATTTGATCAATCTGGTTGCATCGAAAAGAAAGTGTTCCTTAGCGGCAATAAAATGGAACAACATCTGATTTATTAAATGTATTAATAAATCAATTTGTATAGTATTCAAAAAGCATATATTACTTTGAAATTATTACTTCAACTAAAAAGAGAATCGAAAGTGTGAATTGTGCGCTGTATTTTTTACAGAATATCGAGAATTTATCTTAGTGATCAGAAATATTCTTTCTGAATAATATGAGCTAATAATAATTATATATTAAAGAAAAGTAAGTTTTCCGAACATATTCTTTAGAAATTTATATCGCACAATATGGTAAATAATTTTTAAAAGGAATACTTCTGATAAAAGTTATTCTGAACATAATATGTATCTGTCGTGAACAGAATATATAAAAGTATATTTGCTTCAATGTGGTATAAATTTCCGAAAATTTCTTGCTAAACTGGTTTTATGTGATTTGTAGGAAATTAAGTTAGTTAGAGGAATTAGATAAAAGTAAAGTGAATTAGATATGTTTTTATCAGAAAACAACACATTTAATCGAATTACACTTTTAATTCTATTCGAAACAAAGCTTTCTATGTTACAACCTCATGGTGAATGCAATCATGTCTAGTTATTAATTTGAACATAACACTCTGTACTTAAAAATCATTTTCCAATAAGTTGACGGAATATATAAAGGCAAACCTCATAACGTTGGATAACTGACTATGATTGAAGAGTGTGGATGAGCATGCGAATGAATTACATAACTGAGCTCCACAAAACATGAACGTCGTAGACTCACACTTGCGCACTACTGAAAATTCTAAAGTTAGAAAATCAGCCTTTTAGTACACTATAGTTTACAATAGTTTCACGGATGATGTCAACTTTTGACAGCGATGATATTCATTTTATGTAATATACTACAGGGATAATAGGTTGATATAGCACTGTGGTATGTTAAGAAAGATTTGATAACCCTCTAATTATTTTTTCATCAGGAAATCATCTCATAATTTCTAGAAAACATAAATTGATATATCAAGTTTATATACCCAATATTAAATACAATTTTTCCATTGAGCCGTAATAAAATCATGAAATATATAATTTACTTCAAAATAATGACTATACATGAATAAATTTTTCTTGTTTTTCATCATGCTCAAATCTCCTATTCAGTAATATTAGACAAGATCCTAGGTTCGATCTTTGGTGGGTCGAGAATGAATACCTCTGGAGAGTACCATACTTAAATAAATTCGTGATCTCATAAACCAGAGAAATTTTTAACCAAGGCTAAAAAATCGGATTACAAGACTGTAATAAAAGGTTAAAATTCTTTATATTAACTGTCTAAATTTGTAATATTTCAACATAGTTTTACTTTACGTTTTCAAATAAAACTACGTACTTGTGGAATAGAAGGCATCTCATTCAATCGATCATTCATTTTTCCAGTTACTGTTAATGATTCTTTTGAATCAGAATCATCGTTCCTATTCAAGACATTATCTGATCCATAGTGTTGTTTTTTTGAAACATTCATTGTATCTAACAAATGCTTAAGATTGAAAATAAAAAAGTGTTTATTGTTAAATGGTTATACTTTAAAATGTTCAAGTAATCAAAGAAAAGAACAAAAGGTCTACATTACCCTATCTAGCATATATACTTTTTGCAAAAGCATCGGAATAGATGATGAATTAACCAAAAACTTGTGGTTTTGAATATGTAAAAATTGTTTTTTCTACAAAACTTCATTTAGCTTTTCATAATTTCATACGATTGATTAATAGCTAAGTAGTGACAGATATGACGTTTTTCAGTCGTTTAAGACTGATAAAACTGTATCAATCAGGTTGCAATGTGATCACTAGCCTAGATGTCTTTGCATGACATGTACTATGTCAAGATTTTAAGTGGTTGGAGCTAGTTAGCAGGTGATCCAGGGCTGAATTTCTCAGGAAGCACCAGTTTTCCTAAGATTGCCGGTATGCAATATATTTAAGACAGACAGATCACTGATAAAACCTTTTTTACTATATGACTGTAAAAACAGACCAAGAAAAGAAAGTTGATATTCGACGGAGTGAATCTAATTGACTGTTTTGTTGAAAGGACCATATGCTCATAGAAAACCAAACATAGGAAGAATGGGTTAAGCTATTACACAGTGAATACATATCTTATCAGATTTCCAACATTCTGTCGGACTCCTGAAAACGTTTTTCGAGGATGCTAAATACTAATGACTGTTTGGAAGAAGAAAAGTCTATTTAAGTCTGACACAACTGCTTTAATCGTATTTAATGCGAAACACTCTGATATTTACATACATTTGATTCGAAGAAGGTTGTTTAAGGATATTATCATATAAAAATGATCGATGAACAAAACTGTATAAAACTGGAATTACTTTTATCATAATGTGCATAGTTTACAATGGTTATATAAGCAGAAAATAGAAAAATACGAAAAAAAAACATTGAATAAACTAGGTTTAAGAAACATAAAAAAAATCACTAGGAAATTTAATAAAGATAAAAGAAATAAAAACGTTTAACTAACATGTGGATCAATATTTTCATCATGTACTAAATACTCATTATATAATTGAGATTTAACTGCAATTCTTGCTTTAGACGCTACATATGTTAAGTTAACCTGTTCATCAGCCATAGTAGATTTTAATTTATTCCCTTCCATTTGTGTAGATTTAGTATTACTTGAAAAACCGGTAGAAATATTGGATGATTTATTTTGCTAAAAATAAAATATTTTTGTAAATATGTTTTGTGTATAAAATCAATAAATAATCTGGAAGAAAATTCGTTCAAAGTATACTGATAATTATACAAGACTTTAATGGCCTCTTAATAATGAAAGTAGATACGGTATCATAAATCTATTTGATATATTTAAATTGAGTTTATATAAAAATATTGAGAATGTGTAATATATATCTTTCGTGAACAATTTTGTTTTTATAATGAACTATCAGAAACATTCACCCTATAACTAGTTTGCAGATGTATTTCTTTTTTTTTTGACTATTCATAAAGCAGATATCTAAAAGAAATCTATATTCTGACAAACTTAATAACGTTTTAATGATAGTAATCAAATTTTACTTAGTATAAATTGTAAATACAAACCAGAAACACTGTTGATGATATACGAATCAGCGTTTAATCTTTATGTTGAACTAGTGAATGTGTTCATACAAAGTCATTTTATTTCTGTTTTTAAGTAAATCTTATTGAGACGAGATAGAAGTAATCAAGTTCACTCTTTCAAAAGGTTTATTCTTGCGGAAGTAACATTTGTACAATCATTTATGAAGCCTTCATAGCAAACTGTTTGTTCCATTTATTATCAGAAGGGGTTTTATGGAGATTTTAGTAATTTCAATAGTTGAGATCATGAGTCAGTTGAAGTTAGACGACCGCGGAAAACCTGAAAGCACTAGACAGTCGTTTTGTTCTGTTGTGGGACTCCTCAGCAGTGCGTATCACCGACCTCGGCTCTCAGTATTCGAACCCAGGACCTACTGGTCTCGCGCATGAGCGCTTAACCACTAGACCATTGAGCCGGCATCCTGCGGTATTAATGTCTAACTTAAACTAATCCACGAAATTAAGCGACACATCCACCGTTGTTATCAGTAAATTACTATCTCACATTTATGTTGATAAGAATAATAATCTACAAAATTATAGAAAGGATTATGTAAGTCTTGATCATTTAGGAATATATTGAATATGTGCTACATTTGCTTCATGAAAACCATTTTCAGGATTTGAAAAACACCTTCCACACAATGTAAATTCGACAGTATTATCTCATATATTCTAATTGCTCTGAAAATTCAAGTCGTGATATTTAACGATTCCGATATAAGTCTTTGCGAAATCGATTGAAAGATTTTAAGCCAAAGGAGAAACGAAATTTGAGTTATTCCCAACATCAGTGTTAATAAATATTAGCAGATATAAGAAGAAACTTTATTTTGATTCTTTAAAAACTTACTTTACGGAATCTCGTTAACGCTTAAATAGATAACAGTAACCACTTACTAAATATATGACCCGTCACAAATATCCGTAGGTTCACTATACATAAAACGATTATGCCAAAAAATTGTAATGAGTATGTTTATGTTGATTTTGTGGAAAGTTTCATTTTTTTGATTACTGAACTACTGTTATACTTATCTGATAGGCCCAGAAGTTAATAGACAAATACATTAGGTTTTAAATACTATCGGTTTAACACATGATCTTCAGACAGGCTCATAAAAGAGTTCATTCCATGTTACATACATAGTAATATCAATTTATAGACTATATGAAAATACAAAGGTACTACTTACAGTACATTTATAATTACAGCAAACTTTAAATTTTAACATTCAGTATCGAAATAGTCGGTTAACTAAAGATTTTTTGTATTTTAATACAAGAAAATTTTTGTGAAATTGGTCCATGTTTTTATTGAACTTCAAGACACTATACTGAGTTTCTATAATTCTTTTTTCTTTAATTGCTGTAATGATATTCACAAAAATGTGAATAAATAAAACCAACTCATCTGTTATTTCTATCATTTTAGTTTAAAATAATTTGTAAATTTACGTTTTTTATTATATCTAGCTAGATGTAGGATATTAAATATTAAAAAACACAGTCCATAATTTTATCAATATAGGGTTGTGGACATTGTTCTGTTTAAATTGGTTTCATGAATGGATTAATGTTAAACCATCACTGAAAACCTGGAAGAACTGGATGGCCGTTTCGTCCTAGCATGGGACCCCTAAGCAGTGCACATCCACGATCCTGCAAGCGGGACTCAGACCCAGGGTCCCCAGTCTTGTGGATGAAGGCTTGATCTCTGGACCACTGAGCCAGCTTTCAACGGTGTTAATGTCTACCTTAAACCAATCCACGATATTGCGTGACCATTCACTATTATCTCCAGCGAGTAACTGCCTCACAACAGAGGAGTCCCATGTAAGGCCAAACGGCCGTCTAGTACTTCTAGGTTTTCAATGGTAGTCTAACATTGGTCCGTTCATGATATCAATTCAACTTCATAGTTCATTTGCATCAAATGTTCAATTCAATTTGCATAATTAAAACAATTCTAGTCAATTATTAAACATTGTTACAAGTTATAATGTGCGTAAATCAATATGTGCTGAGACAACTCACTTCAGTAATTTCATTATTATGTAGACCAGCTTGTGATGTTACTGACAAATCAACATGATCTGGAGTTATTGTTTTATCTTTATTTGGGTTTTTCACATTCATTACATCTGACAAAAAAAGTTTACCGGCAGTAGTTGTTGTAGTGCTAGTATCAGTACACGTATTACCAGTGGTGGTGGTGGTGGTAGTAGTAGTAGTAGTAGTAGTAATATAAGTTATTGTTGGTGTCATCGTTGTCGCGGTTGTGTTAGAAACTTTTGACTGCACAAAATTACTGTTATTATTACTGATTTTACATTGTTGATCATTTTTAACTTGTGTTTGATTATTATTGTTTAGATTATTAACGGTATTCTTACTACTGATGATATTGGTCGAGGATGAAGGTACATTTGAGTTTGTTTCGCTTTTAATTAATGTTTTTAGCTCTTCCAAGAATATAGATGCGAAATTCTCACTAGTGAAATATTCACTTCGTAAAAGAGCAGATGATGTCGGTCGATCGTTAGCATCGATTCGAAGACAACTCTAACAAACCATGAATATTTAAAGATTTTGTAAATTATTAAAAAATATTCAAGGTTATTCAAAAATAAATTAAGTGAAAGTTATTGTTTACGTATAACAAAATATTTATAATTGTGTGGAAGAATAGGTTAATAAAAATCAAGTATACAGAGTATAACTGGTGAATATAGAGCTGTGAATAACTACCTCTTTAAATATCATATCTATTTACATTATTTTATATTGATTGTTCAGATTATATGGACGTTATACGTTCACATTTGGAAAGTCATCAAAAAGTCTCATACAACATGGTCCAATGGAAACCTTAAGCAAAGTAAAGACGAAAATATTCTTGATTGAAATCACGAGTCGATGAATGTTAGACCACCATCAAAATCTTGGGAGCACTGGAAGACTGTTTCTTCCTAGTAAGGGACTCCTTAGCAGTGAGGGATCGTGGAAGAGCACTGCTGGAGAGTCTCTTACGAGGACGAAACGGTCGTTCAGTGCTTTCAGGTTTTCGATCGTAGTCTAACGTTCATCGACTCATGATCTTAATCAAAAACTCAACAAGCTCCAAAACCCCATACTGGTAAATTCATCCTATTTTTAGGCTTTTTCAACAGCCTAATGTTTCAAAAATTAATATTTCATTAATAAAGGTTTGATGTACTTTAGTTGATATTTACATCAACTTGATACAGGAGAAATTTTTAAACCCCCATACTAATTAGGAGTTTCTTCTATGGGATATAAGTTTAAATTATTTAATACCAACAAGCGTGTTTTCGTTTTCATGTGATTCTTCATAAATTACTATGACGAAGTCCCAGAATCATCTATGTTCCAAACTTTAATTTATTGGTTTGATGAGTGCGTTATAATTTTCATGATGACATGATTGATAATGAAATGAAAATGTTCGAAATTCCTACTATAATTTGTATTTATTATTCTATACTTTCACATATGTTATCACACTAAATTCATAATTTTAAGCTAATGGCATATGAAATTTATTGGCATGATTCTATAACTAAAACATTTTGAATCAGCATAAAAGTAGTGCCCGAGCATGTGTGGCTTATTTTTTATCATTTTATTTGTGGTGGAATACAACATAACCTAACCTATTGTCAAGACTTTATAGTAAATAATGGAGTGTCAAAATTTTTCAGTTACTCGTGGGAAATCTTATCAAATACAAAATTCTTCTTCTTTAGCAGTTAAACAGTTTTCGGTTTGCTGTAGTGTTAATTTTGCTATAAAATGTCTCTCAAAGTGAATGAATATGCAGACTCAAGTATTATCTTTGCAGCAATAAGTCTTTATCATGCATATATTAGTTGACTAATATCTCGATAGCTTAAATGTAATTAACACTTCATGCATCAGCGATGCTAAAGTAGTTTTTCACTTTAAGACTTCCCATCTCAACATAAAAACAATGCTAATACTGCCACAAAAACCACAAATAAAACAAACAGATTTCGAAAAACCAAAATTACGGTGATACTCGGATTCCAAACTCTGCCAACTCATAAAGTATAATTTCAAATATATTTACTAAAATTAGTATTATAACTCAGTAAGCGGCTACTCATTTAAATGATTACCATACTTTCCTTGTTCTCTTTTTTTAGGTAATATAAAATACGTGTCACAGTTTTTAACTACCTTTATAAATCCAAGAGTTAGTTTCGAAACCTTAGCTAATCGTTTATCCAATGGATCAATTTCTTTTGCAAATGGAACTCTCATACCAACAAAAAGTGGATTTCGATGAAATATATTTTGATATTTCTCACTTAGATTGCCTATAAAAAGAGTAAGATGATCAAGAGATTTATGAATACTTTAGTTACGACAACACTGCTTAATTTTAATACATAAATTTGTTGACTAGTTAGCAAAAAATAGTGGATGCAATAATAAATGAAGCAAAAATATTTATAAATCTATTCATCATATGTAATAACATGCATGTTTGTTTCACTTTCATGTAAATTGTTACGCCTTCTTTTGGTCTACAAAAACGTAGTTCATATGTATTGCTTAATTTAACAAGTTTGTTTCAAATGAAAGCTGTGATCGTTATCGATATCCAGTGTTTTTTTCTCTCAAACTTCCCTTCTTTGTGCTTATGTTGAATCATTTAGATGTTTCGGGATTGATTGTCATATGTTTTCGTATCTTTATAATATACTTTCACATGTTTCGGTAAACCTGTCATCATTCCTTTCTTATAAGAGGTAAGAACCATGTTCAACTAAGAAACTTTGTATTTCCTGAACTTGTCACTTTGATTTTCTACCTTTGATTGCCATTGTTAAGTAAGATAAAAATGGAACTTAAGAAAATATTTTCACTTTTTACTTATTTAGTTTTGTGATTTTATCTTTAAACAGTTTTTTATATCAGTTAGTTAGTGCATTTACACACCGTGTTTCTGATACACCATAATAGTGTGATAAATCTCTCAAAGGTTGGAATCTGACGAGTTACATATAATGAGATGGAGGTTATGTGGACGTTTTAGTGCGTATCAGCAGACTTACTTAGTTCGAAGGATTGTTTCATCTTGATCGGAGATTTAATGGCATACTAGAGGAAACAGCGGTAGATTTTTTATGTTTTAGGTTTGTATACGTCGATATTACATAACAAAAATCTTATATGGAGTCAAATTCAACACTTATTGGTTTCTCAAAAAATACTACACCATTCATTCACTTGGTCAAAGACCAGTTGTTCAGCTTTTACACTGAATTCTGGATATTTCTGAACCATCAGCCGTTGCTGGATGTTCATTTAAATTCAAACTTGGTTGACTGCACATATTCTGAATTCCATCTAAAACATTTTAACACATCCATTTCACACAACGTTTTGTAAGTTAATTTAATGCGAATCATATCTTCATGATATACTATAATTTTGAGGTGATTGTATTTAAATTTAGAGTGTGAACGCTTTTCTTTCATTACTACAAAATAAGAATAACCTAATCTTATACAGAAAACTATTCTCTCAACGTCTATAATGCCTATAAATTTGTAAAGCTATTACAGCCTTACTAACTATTGTAATTCCTGGTTTGTATATTTTCAAGGAAGATTCATCTAAAAACGAGAGAATTAATGACTTTAGAGTTTTATCTAAGTGGAACTCAAGAATACCAAAAGAATGAGGCATGTGAGTAAATGTCTGAAAAATAGTAAAATTACCATTCAGATAGTCCAGAGGGGTTATTTTTCTTACAGTTTTACCATCGAGCTTACCAAGCACTTGTTTATTAATATCTGGTTTATCTTATAATTAAAACCATACAGTGAATGTAAATATCCTTTAAATAGCACATTCATATATGAAGAGATTTTACATGAATAAGAAATTAAGTCAGTACTCATTAAGGATGGGCACATTAATAAATAAAAGCCGTTTAGTGGGTCTAAAGGAAACATAAAGTAATTATTTGGATGCAGTTAAGAGTATTATTGAGTTAATCATTACAGTGTCAAACACTATCGCATACAAAAAGTGACCAAACAAACCCAAATTTGATAGCGGGAAATGGTAAACACAAAACATTCATAAATGCCGAAAATCCTTCAAAAAGTTCTTCATTACAGTTTTAAATTGACTACATCAATTGACATGGAATTTACTTTTCCAAAACATACTGGATTACAATATATATATATATATATATATATATATATATATATACCGTGCAGAGATATACCAACAGTCCAACAAAGATACTATGGTAACAGCATCGTCATTGGTTGAAATGAGTTTTGGTTCTCAGGTTCCATTTTTTTAAAGTCACTTTTCTACATGTTTTCTGCATTCCGATAGTTGGGAACTTTCAATTTTTAGTTTTTCATAACTAATTTTAAAAACTTATTTATTTATATAAACTATTTTTAGAAGCTTGATGTTGTCATTCTTAAGGAGAATCGATTTTCCTGCTGAGATTTTCACTTCTCATTCTTGCTCATGTATTTAAAAGATTTAAAGTTCGGGTAAATATTTGGGACAATCAATGCACTACATTTATCTTTACGAGAGTTATTCAACTGTTTCCTTAATTCACCCTTCTCTATTTAGTACACAAAAGTACTCGCTCTGGATTTAGAATACTTCAACACTAATGCTTCACACCACATACCATTCATAGCTGGACAGTCATCTAGAACCAAGAACCACTAGATAGATTTTTCATTCTATTATAAAACTCCTCAGAAGTGTGCATCAAGGACCCCACCATAGATCGAACCCAGGATTTTCGGTTTCATTATAACTACTTAACATTCAGACTATCGAGCCAGCATTCATTGGTGTGTGTGCCTTACCTCAATCGATTTGCGATATTGCTGGGTATCATGCTGTGAAATTTTATTAGTCTTCAGCAATAATCTTGTGCTCACTAGCGATAAACTACGACTGGTAATTTCATGGTTTTTACTGAGAAGCCGTGACTAGCAGAGTTCGATCATGCGGGACATCAAACAGTTATCAGATGCAAGCTATGGAAGATGGCCGTCCTATATCGAGTATTTACTGAAATTAGATATGCAAACTATTGAATGCCAACCCGTTGATACAGAAGCTTAGAGATCACCGCGAGACTTTAAGATTCCCGGTTCTCTCCTTAACGGGTTCGTGAATGTGTACCGTTGAGAAGTCTCCTACGAGAACGGAACAGCTGTTTAATGGTTCCTGGTTTAAATGTTTGTTTAATTAGGATTAGTATTTGATTTAAACTACAAACACTTCCCTAATCTCTGCAAACTCTCTGTACTAATATATTCCAATAGTTTATAAAAAATCTGAATACACGTTTCTCAGTCCTATCAACAAAAGTAATCTGTAATCTAATTTCAGTTGAATCTTGATATATTGCCTTGTTTAAATTTTAGGCACTACTCATCAACTATTTAAAAAAATAACTACAGAAAACGTAAACATTAAGATACAGATATATATAAGTAGGAAAAAGATTACTACAATTAAAAATCTGTGCATGGAAAATCGATATTTGGCTTAATAATTTTTTCTTAAATAATAAGAGATTAACTTGAAAATGACGTTTCATAAAACTATTCACAGTTAGTCAACATAAATGCAATACCGATGAGTTAATTTTCAACTCTCTACGATTTTATGCATATACGTACCAAGTGAAGAGTTCACCTTCATTCTGATCAACGATTAGGAGTTTATGAACCATTGTCATACGAAAATACCAACTACTTGGAGATTCCTCTCTATATAAAGTCAATTTATACAACATTGAAGGTAAACTTAGATAATACCTAATATTATTTATTGTTGCCTTATTCATCTCTTATTCAGCTCTTTCTAAGTCTTGCCACTTAAGTCTGTCTTTTTATTTTAAAACATGCTGAATTCAAACACATTACATATTTTTGTATCAATCATCTTGAACTCACCTAATTTCAGAAAAATGGATAGTTATGGTATTTACCAAATCTTACTAATACATAAAGCTTAATAAGTTAGATTTCCTTTTTCATTCACTTTGAACTAGGTTTGTGACTATAATGTTGCGTAAATAGCCGTTCAACACATGACAGAGAAACTCAAAAATAAAACCATGAATTTTATACTGTTCCACATCTTAAATTAGAGCGGAATGTATTTTGTATAAATGCATAAGACTCTATTATGAAAGATAATATCTCGTCAACAGTTAAATGATATGAATTGATGGTTACCAGTTGAAGTGTTCTATTTGTACAACCATTATTCCAATTCAATTATTACAGTTGCATAAATAAACTAATTAATACGTTGGTATGCATTTTTAAAAAAAATGTCTTGATGTTAATTGCGAAGTAAAATATTTGTATATTATTGACTATGTTTACAAAATAATTATTTCCCACTATAAAATAATGTCATTATTTAATGAAAAATGTATCAGAGTACATATAATTCGCCAATTTCTTGCTTGCAGAGTTCTAGTATCTCATGTCCTACAGTAGTTTTATAAGTATACTTGGTGAAAACATCTAATATTTTTAGCATATTCGTTATTCAATATAAAGTATCGAGGGTGACCTGCGAGTCTTTTATCTTTTTTTCCATTTATTTATCAATTTAAAATATCTCTGAACCTTATGGGTTATAGATTGATAACTCGTATTGTTTATAAATAAGTTTGTGAAAGATTGTAAAATGAAAAGCTCAACCATTATCAGTTACTTTCATGTAATCCAATATTATTCAGTTCAATAAATTGGACATTTATTAGGATAAATATATAACAGCAATTAGTAATAGAAAGATAGTGGTAACTTTTCATTTTCTCTATGATTAAAAACATATTTTCAAACAAATGTTATATGTTTTAGTTTCTTATTTAACATGGTTAAAATATGATTTACTGAATGAAGAAGTTTATTTTCTTTGATTAAACTGGAGGTCAATCTATAACCTAATGCTTTTTGTTGTGTAATTTATATTTTTAAATATACTATTCATATTTAACATTAAAATTTAGTAATTAAATAACTATAGTTATAATAAGATATTAAATATTTGTTTCAAATTTAAAAGTTATTCACAAAATATTTATTCTTGTAAAGCTTTCAATATGATGTTTCAAATAATTTAACTCATATCCTCATAGTAATGAAGATAAATGTGTTTGCTAAAATGTATCAAATACAATTCCTATTTGATCTTAAAATAACCAAACACGATTAAGAAAACGATAAGTTAATTGCAAAACTCTATGGTATAGATTAGAATTAAATAATTCGAAAACACTTTCTTCAGTCATTGA